GAAAACAAAAGTAGTACACTAGTCGTTCCCTCATTGGTGGAATGTGCCAACATGACCTGTTTTCGACCTCTCCCCTAAACCTTCCTTCAAAGTTCAAACTTTGCTTCTATTGACTTTCTTGCATTACGAAATCGATTGGAAGTCTGCAGTTTTTTTTTTTTTTTGGCACTATAAAATTTGGCTTTTTTTTTTTTTTTCTTTCTAAAACTATAAAAGCCTTCAATCCCTTGTTAGCCTAAGACCATACCTGGGAAATATCCCGCATAAGTATCATTCTTCGCCTGCGATTTAGTGGCAGCAGCAGTTGCAGTAGTAGGAGAGAATTTCCAGTTACATTAGAGAAAACAATGTCGAGGCCACGGATCGCAATAGCTTTGGTAACCCTAGCTCTGCTCTTCTTCTTCGCATCGGCCTTAGCTGACGACGTCGTCGTTTTGACTGAAGAGAATTTTGAGAAGGAGGTCGGTCAAGATCGCGGGGCTCTCGTCGAGTTCTACGCTCCTTGGTATGCCTGATTGGCTGATTCCCCGTTATTTCCTTCATTTGTTAATTTTTGCGAGGTTTTTTTTGGTCATGGTGAATTGGATGTAAGTTTTTTGATGGTTTTGATGAATTGGAGTCTGATGTATTTAATTGCTTTTAGATCCGTGACTTTTCTTTTCTTTTGGTTGTAATAGTCGAATTCGGATCTTTGCGAAAAAGATTGCTGTGATTTTGGTCTGTTGCATATTTATATGTGGATTCATAGGCACTGCCAGTTTTTCGTCTGTTGCGGTGTATGATATTTAGGAGATAGATGGACTAGCATGAAAAACTACTGTGTGGGAATGCGAGATTGATTTTTTATATCATTATGTTTGTTGATTTGAAGTGATTTTGAGCTGTTCCTGTAAGGGAAGATGTAAAGAAGTTTTTTTTTTTGGTGGTTCTCCCCGTGATGAATTTGCAGGTGTGGGCACTGTAAGAAGCTTGCTCCAGAGTACGAAAAGCTCGGTGCGAGTTTCAAGAAAGCTAAAGCTGTTTTGATTGGAAAGGTTAGCTCTTCAGCTCTTTTATGATACATTGACCCTTTCAAATATGGTGGGAAAAGCCTCATTTTTACTCTAGGCTTGTAGTGTTGCTATAGCGATAAGAACATTTGCCTTGGGTTATTAAGTAGTTTAGCTAAAGTTGGTACAATCTAAAGCTTGTAACTTCTGGGAATGTTACTATTGCATTGCTGTAGAGAGCTCAGATATGATGCAAAATTCATGGCTTTTGCCATGCCATTGTGGTGTGTTTCTTTTAATGGATTTTGGAGTTGTACATTATTAAGGTTTTTGCCATTGTATGAATCATCTATCTTTGTGCTTTTTCTGATTACTGGTTTAGGAGTTGTCATCCTTGGCAGCTGCATTAATATAGAGCAAGATGCTATGGCAAAACTCTCTCACACAAAATATACGGTTATTTCATGTTGAAAAAGTGCTTACATTTTATCTTTTCATCCTCACAAACTGGGTATGCTCTATTGGATTTCCATCACTAAAATCTTGAGAGTGTGGAACCTGAGGTCCATTACTCTCTGGTGGCTTGCTGTTATCAACATCAGTTTAACTTTCTTAGCTGTTGTGAATCTTCTATTTTGCATCTGATTTAATTTCAATACTTTAAAAATATTAATCAATGGTTTAGCTGTGAATTATAGCAAAAATAAGTTTAATTTTTGAACTTTTGTCAAATTATATTTGTTGTAGGTGGACTGCGATGAGCATAAGAGCCTTTGCAGCAAATATGGTGTTTCTGGCTACCCCACCATCCAATGGTTTCCGAAAGGTTCCTTGGAGCCCAAAAAGTGAGTATATGTGCAATACTGGAGTTTTCAAAAGGTCTTTGTTTTTCTTTACTTGCTCTGCGAAAATGATTTCTGTCCTGGTGTTGACTATATGTAAATATAACTTACATGCCTTGACTATATGTAAACTCATGAATCTATTTTTATTCTTAGGTATGAAGGTGCACGATCTGCAGAAGCCCTTGCTGAGTTTGTGAACAGTGAAGGAGGTAATGTTATTGGCTAGCTGGCTTGTATTTTGTACTCCGTAAGTGTAATCCATGTTAACAAGTTTGTTAGATTTACGTTAAAGCATATTTTGGTAAAACTGTTTAATAATCCACGAAGATGATAAAATCCAATCCATATTACTTCTGAAGATTAGAAATTTACTTCACCTTAAGATATCACCAAACTCTTTTGGATTCATTGTGCCGAAATATCACCTTAAATACCTGATACTGGGACTTTGGCGTTAATTCTCCCTGATCTTGAGCATACATGAACTGCATCGTAGCTAGTATTTATACTATACATGGATTTTTCCGCTGCAGTAATGTTTAGTTGTAATCCCTTCTAAGCATTTAATTTTGGTTGTTCATCTTGAATAAAGAGATTATCATATTCATCGAATTTAGTTACAGCAACTTGAAGGAATTGTCATCATTGAATTTCAAGGTGCCTTTC